ATGGAAGTCACTCTCCCGAATTCTACTTTCTATAATGCTCATTCCAACCTTAGGAGGCTGAAGGTTGTCATCACCTCATTTATAGGTGAGGAAACCCAGATGCAGGAGGGAAGTGACTTGCCCAAGGCCACCCAGATGGGAAGGCACTTGCTTTTTCTGTCCACATCCTAGGCAACTCCAGTCCTGCCTGGCTTCTTCCCCATGACTCATATCCTCCTGGGGGAAGTGAGGAAAAGCCAAGTCCATTCTCCCTCCCCTGAAGTTCAATTCCAGTTGCTTGCTGGGAGCCAGGGCCAGGAGACACCAGAGACTGGTTCCCAGGCTCTCTCTGTAGATCTGGTTCCCCTGCAGTCTGATGGCTAGAGGCCCTGGGTAAGGAAACTTGGCTTTGGGACCAGACCACCCACTTCTGAGTCCAGGGGTTGGCAGGGGGTGCTGAGCAGAAGGCAGGACTGGCCTCCACCCCCTTTCTGTGTTTACCTTTTGAACTTTAATTGTGAGCTTATCTTTAAGGGAAAGAATATTCCATAAACTTAAAATAGGCAAGACTTAATTAATAGCATGCTTTGTTCTTCTGATCCTTATCTGTTCAGGAAGACACACCTCTTTTCAGTTTTGTGGGTCAAGGTGAAACTGCCTCTGGGGGCTTACCAGCAGCTGCTCCATTTTCCACTTTTGAACTCTGGTTCCCTTTGGTTTTTCCCCTCTCCTGTGTGTGGGAGGGGTTTTCCCAACTTTTTAGCCAAGACCTTTTCTATTTATTCAGTTGCCAGTATTATATGTTATAATTATTTCTTCTTATGTAATTAATAGCTACTGTGCACTGAGGACCTACTATGGGCCAGGCATTCTGTTAAGGGCTCCTATCACCCTAGTATGGTGCCTCTTCTAATTATTTCCATTATACAGATGAGGCAACCAAGGCCCGAGAGGAGAAATGACTTTCCTGAGGCCACATAGCTTTAAAACAGTAGAGCTAGGCTTCAAATCCAGGGCTTTATGCCCCCAAACACCCATGACTAATATTTATTGAGCATTTAACTATGGGCTTCCGGGGCCCACCATGCTAGCTTGTAAAGCATGTCCCTTTTGTTTTTCTTGTTTAAAACATGTCTTCTTAGTTTTCATAATTCTACAAGCTATGTACAATTATTCTATCCATTTCAAAAATGAGGAAACTGAGGCTCAAAGAGGTGAATTAATTTACCCAAAGTCACACAGTATTTAATGGCAGAGCTGTGATTTGCACCAAGTGGTATCTGAGAGGTAGCCTGGTTCAGAGGCTTAGTACTAGATGAGAAACAACAACAACAACAACAACAAAAAAAACCAAAGAGATTTTGGCCCTCATTGTGTGGGCAAGTCACCTAACCCTACTGAACTTTAGCTTCTCATCTGCAAAATGCTGGACATTATTTTCCCAACTTCTTGTGGTAGTTGTGAGAATAAGGGGGTGGGAACTAATGATTATACAGAAAATGTCTATCAGGGCCTGGGTTTACAGGCTTTACCCCATTTTTGGTTGGAATTATAATGAATTTTATCTTTTTAAAATTCCCTTCCGAGTTGTCTATATTTTCCACAAAAAGTGTGTTTTTCTTCCACAAACAAAAAAAAGTCTATAAAAGTTTTTTTGTATTTTTCCAATTTTAGTGGGAATTGATTGATGGACACCAATTTTTTTTAAATGACTGTAGCTTTATAGGATAGCTTGAAATCAGGAATTGTGATGCCTCCTGTTGTATTCTTCTTTCTCGAGATTTCTTTGGCTATTTGGGATCTTTTGTGAATTTAGGAGTGTTTTTTCTACTTTTGTACAAAAACGCCATTGGAATTTTCACAGGGATTGAACTGAGTCTATAGATGGCTTTTGGTAGTATTGACATTTTAACAATGTTTGTTCTTCCAATCCATGAACATGGAATATCTTTCCATTTATTTGTGTCTTCTTCAATTTCTTTCACTGATGTCTTAATAGTTTTCAGAGATCTTTCACTTAGTTAAGTTTATCCCCAAGTATTTCGTTGTTTTTTTCCCCCCCAAGATTTATTTATTTGAGAGTGAAAGAGAGAATGTGTGTGCACAAGGGGGAGGAGCAGAGGGAGCGGGAGGGAAAGAATCCTAAGCAGACTCCCTCTGAGCATAGGGCCAGAGGCAGGGCTCTATCTCAGAACCCTGAGATCATGACCCGAGCTGAAACCAAGAGTCGGATGCTTAACTGTCTGAGCCACCCAGATGCCCCTTTATTGTTTTTGATGCTGTTGTAAATGGAATTGATTTATTTATTTCTTTTTCAGATAATTCAGAGTTAAAATATCGTTAATCCTTACAACAACTGTTAGGTAGATGATCTTATATGCATTTTAGAAGAGAGGTGATTACAGAGAAAAGGAGTAACAGATTTAGTTGGGAAGCCACTGAGAAAGGAACTGAACTCAGTTCTGTCTGACTCCAAAATCTCAGTTCCTGTCCCTCCATGGAGGGCGAGTTCTCCATCCTGAGAGGGTGCTTCAAGTAAATTATTAAAATAGACTTTAGGTAAATTCTGTCTCTATAGATCTACCTATTATGAACATTTTATATAAGTTCAGTAATACAGTTTATGGCCTTTTATGTTTAGCTTCTTTCACTCAGTGTAATGTTTTCAAGGTTCATCCATGTTGTAGGTATATTAGTATTTCATTACTTTTTCTGGTTCAACAATAATTTGTTGTATAGGTAGACCACATTTTGTTTATCCATTCATCAGTTGATGGACTCTTGGATTGCTTCTACTTTTGCTGCTATGAACATTCGTATACAAGTTTTTGTGTGGACACATGTTTTCATTTTTTGGGTGAAATGGAGTGAACTTGCTTGGTCAAAGGGTTTCATTACCTTCTATAAGCCTCAGATTGACCTTCAAAGTAGGAACTATTACTTCCATAGTTGAGCAAACTGAAACTCAGGTGTATTTCACTTGCCCAAGGCTACACAGTGAGTAAATGGTGGGGCAGGGCTTGGAACCCAGGCCATCTAGCTCAGATTCCATGCTCATCCTGCCTCTGGGTCTCTGAACTTGTGTTTTACTAAAGAGGTAGTATAATCCATCAGATACTGAGTCTCAAAAAACTGGGCCAGGCTCCTCTGTCCACAGGTAACCCAGCCAGGAATGGAATCTGAGGAGCCCAACCAGGGATTAGCTAAGTTTCTTATTCATCTTGTGGGGTGACCAAGGATCTGGGGAACAGAGAGGAGGCCTGAGGTTATGTCTTTTGAAGCATCCCCAAAGATTTAATCCATTTTTGTGATAGTTTCTCCTGGATGAGGCTGCCTTAAGAATAAAATAAACATGAGCTCCTGGAGGTAGTATGTGGCTAGAACATGGGCTCTGCAGGTCAACTGCCTGGGAGGGAGGAAGCCCCCATCACCTCTTTGTACCTGTGATCCCCATTTACGCCATACCCTGCTCTGAGGGCTAGTCAAGTGCTGACTTATCAGGTTCCCCAAAGAGTTTTGAGAATGGGGAGTGGGATAAGACATCCTAGTACAGGACTCCAGAGGTGCCTTGAAGAGGGAAACATGTCTGTGGCAGCAACCCAGTCCAGATCCTTGCTGGATACAAGGAGGAAGTGGAACCAAGAAGGGATACTCTAAAAGTTACCCCTGTAGGATCTGACCCTAGGGGCTGGGAAGGACTTATGGGGCATTTAAATCCCTCACTGATACTCTCCATTTTGATATCCCATTTTCCTTTTTGTTCTAACTAAATAATTGAGCAGTGGGTGGTTCAAAGTCTGCAATTCTCACTCAGGACCATGGGTGGGTTTTGTTCGCTGCCGCACAAAACTCATTGCCTGGCACGTAGTAGGTAAGGTTGTCCCATAAAATGCAAAAATCCCAGTTAAATTTGGGATTTTAAACAAAGTACGAATTATTTTTTCATGTATGTCCCGCTTGTTTATCTAAAATTCAAACTGAACTGCACTTCCTGTATTTTATCTGCTAAATCTGCCAACCATAGTAGTAGGATCTCGAAAAATGTTTGCAGAATTTGCCCTGGCTGTGCCCTAAACTTGTGGTGTGACCGTTTGGCCAACGCTGCGACCCTCTCTGGGCCTCACTTTCTCTGTCTGAAAAGGGGGGAGTTCGGACAGCGACCACAGTGCAGGGATCGCCAATGCAGGAAAGTGCTGGGTGAACTGCCAAAGAGCAGAGAAGCAGCTCTGGTGGAGCCCACATCTCCGGACTGGGCACCGCGCACGACTCCCCCCAGCAAGGCAGGGGAAGCCCCGATCCCGCCCCTGAGTCGCTGGGGCGGGCCCGAGGCTGTCGCCATGGATACACTGGTAGCCTGGAGAGCCCCTCCCCCACAAGGCCACGCATTTCCGCTGCGTTGGAGCCTTCTGATTGGACGGCCTCCTGGACGCTACCACCGGCCCTGAGCCCGCTAAGGGGTGGGGGCAGGGTGTTGTCCTCGTGGGACTTGTGCCCTGAAGACCTGTGCTTGTGGCCTCTCTAGGAAGGATGGGTTTTCTGCCTCACAAGAAGAAAAAGACCTAGGCTCATGTCGGAAGAGTGTCCACTGCTACTCCTTCTAGAGCTTATGTTCATTTCTCTCCCTGAGAAAGGAAGAGGGGGCGGAAAAGTCGGCAACGCCCCCTCCGGAGCCCATTCGGTCCCAAGATCTGGAGCACCGGAAGTGTTGGCGACGTGTCAGTGCGCCCTACTCTAAACCTTCCCTCCTAGGCCACCTTTCCTATTCAGCTGCGGGATTCCGGGGCCGCCTGGGCGCTGCACCCCGCCACTTCCGCATTAAACCGCCGCTTCAACCGAACTCCCAACCTCTGCGCGCGCTCCCTCTCGAGCCTGATGGTTGGGCCGGCGCCTGGGAGTAGCCACGCCCTTCCCCTCGCCTGGCAGCCAATGGACGGGTGTTTCCCGGCGGGGTGATGGGTAATTAATGAGGGTCGGGCACTGATTGGCTGCAGGATCGTGGCCGGGGGCTGGGCGACGGGGTAGGTTGTTCCTGAGGTGGGAGGCGGCACCCGTGGCTGAGAAGGAGGCCTGAGAGCGACATGTCCCCGGCGGCTGAGGCAGAGCGGCTCGTGGCGCTGTTTTTCTGAGTCCGGGGCGGCCTGGCGGCCGGCTGAGGACGAGGGTCGGCGGAGGCTGCCCTGGCTGTGGTGGCCGCCATGCTGGGGGCCCGGGCGGTTGAGGGAGCTGCCGTGGCGCTCCTGCGACTGCTACTGCTGCTGCTGCTGCCGGCGCTCCCGGGGCCGGGGCTCGGCGTGGTCGGCTTGGCGGGGGCCGGGCTCCCCGAGAGCGTCATTTGGGCCGTCAACGCGGGCGGCGAGGCGCATGTGGACGTGCACGGGATCCACTTCCGCAAGGACCCTTTGGAAGGCCGGGTGGGCCGAGGTGAGAGCCCCTCAGCCAAGCCGTGGGATCAGGGCCTGCCGTGCTGGGCGCAGCCGGTGAGGGCTGCGGGCCCTGAGCTCCCTCCTCGACCCCTGGGGCCATGTGTCTGGAGCCAAGTCTCTCTGCAGTTTGCTCAGGGACCCGGTCCGAGCTCAGAGCCTGGCGCTGGCTCGATGCTGCGAAGAACGATTGAGGCAGAGTTGGCGAGAAGTTATATTTGGACCTCACATCCTGCATTTTCTTAACCCCTCACTTCCACCCGATCTGGGAAAGTAAAGTCGAGGGCGGCCTCCTGCTTCCTCGAGGCCTCACGGGTTGTCGGTTATCAGAGTCCCAGGCTTGGATGGTTTTGCTCTCCTATGAAGACGTTTCCTGGTAGATTCCTGCCATCCCAGAAACCAGCCACTTTCCTTCCCCCTTCTGCATGAGCGGGGCTTGATCCTTAGCATAGAAAGGAATCTTCGAAGAGGATGGGCCAGGAAAGTTTGATTGTAGTATCCTCCGCGCCCCCCTCCCCTTTAGAGCTGGGAATCTGTGTGCTTAAAGTGGAAGTTGAGGCCCCTCAGAGGGTGGTTATATTGAAGCCATCCTGCACGTGAGGCCGATTAAGAGTGTCAGCCGGTCCGCCAGTGTAAGATCTTGAGTATTGTGTCCCACAGTGTGTAGATCCTGACCTAAGCGGCCTTGAAAGGTAGGATTCCAGTATATGGGAAAAATGATTTTGACTCAGCTGAGGAGCAACAGCAGTTTTTAGAGAGCTGCGCAGTTCTCAAAGCTAGTGTAAGAATAGCTGGCAGAGCTGGTTAAAAATGCAAATTCTGGGCCTGATAGATTAAACCCACGTTTCTGCACCGGGAGCTTTTGATGTTGGTCATCCCCAGACCAGACTTTGGGAAAAAATCTGCTCTAGACTCTGTTTCTTCTGTAAATGGGAATGGACAACAGTTTAAGAGGGAAGCTCCTTACTTCGTGTGTTGGAAGGAGATTTATGTTGTATGCTGGGTTCGGAGGCTGCCAGATTGGCAGTATGCCATCTCCAGAAAACCAAGAGACAGACTTTCTCTCATTCTTTCCACGATGCCCAGATTTGGCTCTTGCCTTTAGGAAAGGGTTTAACTTCGTTCTTCCAAGATAATTGCAGTGTCCTGGAGTTTGTTCTATTAGTGAGTTTATTGCTTCCATACATGTGAGAGTGTTGGGACACAGGGCTGTTTTCTGAAGTTCTATGTTTGTCTTGGAATTTAGTTAGCCCTGGCATGTAGGTCTCAGTAGCCTGGGTTCAGCTGAGTCAGGGCTCCAATCTTTAGCAAGCTGTTAACAGCAGCCAAAGCCGGACTCCACAGAAGCAGGAGCTCATTGCTATCTCCATCCTGGACCCTTCCTCTTTCTTCATGGGTGTGGGCAGGGAGGAAGGAGCCCTTGAGGAAACTCGAGACCGTTTGTGGACTTTGCCTCTTGAGATAGCAGTGGTGAGGACAGCGTGCAGATGGTTTCTTTCACTTAACAGATACCAGGCTTCATGTAGGTTACATTATCCTGTTAGGTTTATTGTGTGGAGGAAAAAGCTGAGACAATACAGGTTTAGTTCCCGGCTCTTCTTAATCGGAAATCCTGGTTTTAATTTGCTGGTGTAGGTGATTTTGGGGGTGGAAAGGGGGAGGTGCTGGTGCTGGTCAGCATTCAGCCAGGCTAGGCTCTACATTCTTGGGGTTATTGGTTCATGGTTGCAGTTTCTTTGGAGTTTATTGTAGCAGGTAAAATTACACGAGACCTACCCAAGCCCATGTGTACCGGAGCCCTATCTTGGACCCCCGCCTTTGGGGCACTCTATAAACAGAGGTTCCCTGCTCCACTCCATCAGAGTATGGCAAACGTTGACTGTGAATTGTAGCAGTAGGAAGGGGTAGACGAGGAGTAGAGGCTCGTCGTCAGCTGCAGCTTGGACCAGCCTATTGCAACGTTGCGCTTACTGGGTTCCTGAGAGTCATTTTTGGTGGCCTTAGATCTGGGCCTGAGATGTGATTCAGCTTCCACTCTCAGGAGGCAGCTCTCTAATATGTTTCTGTGCTAAGGAGTTGGCACCACCAAGGAAGGGTAGCTGTTCACTCTGCCTTCCCTTCTCTGGCACTGGTTAGGAGGGGTGTGCCACGTTCTTGGAGACCCTTGCTTCATGCGGCTTTTTACACTAGTTGCAGGAGGAACTGCTGTTTTATTTCTTTTGCCACATGCCTGTGGTATTGCTTCTAGCGTGCTAAAGAAAGTTCATTTTATGTTGACTGAATTCAGGTATTTGTTGCCAAGTTAATCCAGATAAGGGTTTGGCCTGCTTTTGAACTTGGTTTTTCTCTGTAGTGTCTTTGTAGTTCAGCATTCTTGTAACTGTGAGTGGCCTAGGGCACCTAGTGGCTTTTGCTTTTATAGGCACTCCATAATATTTATTCAATTTCATTTCTGCCTTGAGGATAGCTGGTGCTCATCGGAGATACTTATAGCCTGGGAAAGGCTTTTTCAACTTGTGTGCTTCACCAGATGGGAGTACCACTATGCTTCGGCAATGCTCAACTTGGGTTTTTGTCATGCTGAACATTCCAGGTTCTTTTCAACTTGCTCATTCTGGGTTCCTCCTGACTGAGGAGGAAAAGACTTGGTTATTTGGCCTGAGAGCATAGAACTTGGCTTGGTTTTAGGAGAGGCTGTTTCCTCTTCATAGAAAGATACCTGCTGATCATTTGTATGACCTCGAAGAACACGCTTTACCTCTGTGGGCTTTGTTTTCCTTTTTTAGTATAACTTACCATTGTTTTAGAAATCAGTGGCCCCCATCTGAAAACTGTCCTATGGGTTAAAGTGTCTCTTTTCTGTGCTCCATGACCTTTTACATGAAGTTGCAACTAGGGCACATCATAGTTCAGAGGAGTAAAAGGGTGGCTTAGAGCATGAGCCTATCAGATTACTAATTCAGCAAGCCCTAATTCAGCAAGCCGAAGGAAGACCCTTTGCTGGGCAACCTTCCTTTTGGCTGGGGAGGGATCTGGCTTTGTGGAGATGAGAACTTAAAAGTGGATGAGAGTCACTGCTCCTTCTGATTTGCTCAAGGCTTGGGATTTGTTTAGAATTCTCTCCCTATACTGTCACCTAAGAGGCAGGCTTCATCAGCAGGGCCCTCCAAGTAGCAGAATTTCATAGGTAGAGAATTCAGATTGGTGGTATCCCCCATTTTACAGGTGATAAAACACCTGGAGAAAATAATTTGTTCCAGATCACATCATATAGGCAGCAGAGCCAGGATTCAGATCCAGGCCTGTCTTACAGGAAAACAGGCTGAATTTTTCAAGCAGCCTGGCTCCTCCATTGTCCTGAACTAAGCAGCATCAGACAAAATGTAGGCCCTTTGGCCCCCTTCCTTTGGCTGAATTCTATTGGGCCAACTTCAGCAGTGTGGTGATTATGTACACTTCACTGTATTTTAGAGAAATCTGTTTAACTGTGAATACGTAAAGTCTAAGGAAGAAAGAAAAGTGTCCTTTTTGCCGCTGTGTCCCTTGGGACTTGGGCAAATGCAACTTTACATGTGGCAGATCTCCTGGGAAAGTGACTTGGGCTCTAAAGGGAAAATATTTAAAGGTAATTCCAAGATTGTTAAGTAGTTTTTACTCCCATGGCCGAGTTTTGTTAGTTGTGAGACTAAGGCTGTTACAGATTACATTACTGTCAGTTTTTCACTTTTTCCACTCGGCAGGAAAAAAAAAGAAGATTCCCCACACATGCACAACATTTTGTGTGTATCTAAAAAACAAATCTGTTTAATGTTCAAATTTGTAGGGATCATGGTTCTCATGGAAGAAGGAAATTCTTAGAACTGAAGTGGAAGAGAAATAGCAGTTTTTTAATCTTTATGGGTTTGTGCCCTCGTGTAATGGTTTGAGCCTGGGAAAGAGCTGAGGCGTGTTGGCAGTGCATCCTTTGTAGTGCTTCTTCGCACCCTTCTTTGATTTCTTGAGAAGAAGTAAGAAAAAAGTCTGAAGACAAAAGTGCAATGAGTTTCCTGTTGCATTGTCTCATCAGGTCCATCTGATGTCATGGCTAACTATTCACTTACAGGAACTAACAGTTATGTTTATTTTTTTGAGGGCTTGACCTTAGTCACTGGCTCTTTCAGTTACTCTTTTACCTCCCTTGGAGATAAAAGATCCCCTTGGAGTTTTGATGATTCAGAAGATAAAGCTCCAGGGATGACTGCTCGTGGACATCTCCCAAAGGATCTAGGTGCCAAATGTCTTCAGAGTCCCTGTGTGAGATTGGAAGGTGGTCTTGAAATCTTAATACTAGGCTGGAGGAGAGACTGGGCCCGTACCAAAATCACTGCTAAGTCTGTAGTTGGAAAGTGGATTTATGGAGCACTGGAAAGCCTCATTGTGTTTACATGATAAAGGAATCAGAGAAGCTACTTTTGGAAGGAGGAAGTATAGCTGTTCATCTCTGGGGCTGGAGTGTGGTTGGTGTCTTATGTTTGAGGAAAGACCCCAATCTACTTTGTTACGGGGCGGGAGACTGACCCAAGGTATATAACTTTTTACCTTTTTTTTTTTTTTTTTTTTTTTTTTAGTGTAAGCTCTATCCCCAAAATGGAGCTTGAATATTCATGACTCTGAGATCAAGAGCTGCATGCTCTACCAGCTGCGCCACCCAGGTGTTTTTTTACTTTTACCCTGCAGTAAGCCTTGTCAGTCTGTGAAATGGGAAAGGTGGCTCCCCAAGGACTTGGGCATCTTAGGCCAAAGGTGCCATTGGACCTTGGCAGGTTTTTTTTTGCTAGGCTGGCTCTAGCCCTGTGCAGAGAATAGCGTGGCTTCGCTGGTCCGCGGGCACCTCCTTTGTTGTTTGTTCGTTCAGCAAATCATACGGAGTTGCTGCTTATGTGCCAGTCACCTTGTTAGGTGCTCGGGACACAATGGGAACTTTTTTCCTTCAAAAGGTTTAACTTAAACCAAAGGTTTAACTGGAGGATTGTGCAAGAGAGAGTAGGTGACGTGGAGTTTTTTGAGTTTGTGAGAAGTTAGGTGCTTACACGTAAAGGAAATTAGAGAGCATCACACCCTTCTTTTTATGAGCATGTTTCTCTTTACCAGCCTTGGAACTCTGTGAATGAAAATCATAAAAAGCAACTAAGCTTGTATCTTACTTACAGTAAAAACAATGCAGAAATGACTTTCCTAACATAAACTGTTTTAGACTCTTGAGCTTCTCTGAATTGAAAAAAAAAAAAAAAGCAACATACATTTTTTTAACTTAATCGTCTTGCAGAGTTCTTGGCCATTCCCCTGTTTTATGAGGTTTCTCTGAAGCTCCTCTTTTCAGGGAGTCAGGAGCTATAGCTATCGCCTGTTTTCTTCCTGTCACACTCTGTGCAGTTGAGGAAAGTCATTTTAATAGGCTTTTAAAAAGTTCTGCTCTGAGGGTTAGGGAGCTGTTGGGATTATTAGTGTTTGGTTTCTTTCACTTTATTCTTCCTTGGTAATGGCTCTCTGATTCTTGCCTTTGTGTCCGGTCTCTTTAGAGCTAGGCAGAGAGGGGGTGGTCCCTTCCCCTGGGAGGGTTACTAGCATTGCCCTGGAAATGGCAGTTCTGGGGTCTCTGCTCTTTTTGTGTGCCTTGCCTCTGATGTGGTCTCTCTTTGTTTTTTGTCCCCAGCCTCTGACTATGGTATGAAACTGCCAATCCTGCGTTCCAACCCGGAGGACCAGATCCTGTATCAAACAGAGCGGTACAATGAGGAGACTTTTGGCTATGAAGTGCCCATTAAGGAGGAGGGGGACTACGTGCTGGTGTTGAAATTTGCTGAGGTCTACTTTGCACAGTCCCAGCAGAAGGTGAGGCCTGGTCAGTGGGACATTGCCACTCTTGGATAGTCCCCTGCTATGGGCCAGAGAATGTAAGAGCCTCCCCAGAAGGGAGGAACAGGTGAGCTTTGAGGAAAAGCTGGATTCCTTCTGCCCCTAGAGAAGCAGTGTCCCATAGCTCACAAGGCTGCACCTGCCCTGGGGGTTGGTGACAGAGGCAATGCCAGAATCTTATTTTTTTGGCAGTTAACCGATCACGATTGTCCTTGGTTGTTAGCACCTTCTTGATTTTAGCCTAATTTTTTTCCTGTCTCTTCTTGTGAATTTCCTTCTGTCCATGTCAAGCTTTTTGTTTATATTCTTTGTTCCCTAAGGCCAGTATGAGACCTGGACAGTGAAAGAACATGGCTTTGATTTAGCTCATGTAAAGAACTCTGTACCCTTGACTGTATCCAGCCCTGTCATTTAAAAAATTATTTCTGAACTTGAAGCCCAGGCAGGTACATGATGTCCAGCTGCTAAAGGGGTAGGAAGCTGATGGTTTTGACATTGTCTCTCTCTCTTTTTTAATCATGGAAGGTATTTGATGTGCGATTGAATGGCCATGTCGTGGTGAAGGACTTGGATATCTTTGATCGTGTTGGGCACAGCACAGCTCATGATGAAATCATCCCTATGAGCATCAGAAAGGGGAAGCTGAGTGTCCAAGGGGAGGTGTCCACCTTCACAGGGAAACTTTACATCGAGTTTGTTAAGGTAATGTCTTCCCTCTGCCCTCCGGCTGAGTAAATGTTTAAAAGGAATGGGTGCAGGGGAATGTTTATTGCCGTGTGGTGCTGACCATAGTTTCCCGTTCCCTAGGGGTACTATGATAATCCCAAAGTTTGTGCACTCTACATCATGGCTGGGACAGTGGATGGTAAGTGGCATTTTAACCTTTAACCTTCTTTTTCCCTTGGGGTAAAGGGTGTGGTTGAGGAAACCCCTGGGGAAATAATTTAGCTGATCACTCTTGCGAGAACACTTAAAGCCAAGCTGTGGGGAGTTTGGATGGGGATGATGTGCAGCGTGGTGCTGGCCATAAGCTTTGGAGTAAGCTCTGGGTTTAAATTTTGCTGTTCCCACTTAATCAGGTCTTTGGTTTTGGACAAATTCCTTTAACATCACTATAAATTTGGCCTAATAATGGTACCTATTAGTGTGCACTGACCCTTGTAGTCTTTCGGAATTGCCTAAAACTTGTTCTTAGTCTCTTTCTTTGACCTCTATTTCCTGGGGGGCAAAAAGGGAAAAGGAGGTGTCCTTTTGCGTCTTGGTATGCTCTGAGAGTCCAGAATTGCTGGGCTGCACTAGACAGGAGTTCAATTACCAGTGTCTCCTGGTCCTTGGGACCAAGCCTTAGGGTGTATCGCTTTCTCAGTGTTGTGATGATCCTGCCCGCCAGCTTCCCAGGCTGGTTTTTTGCAGGGAAAGCTTGTGTCTTAGTGACTTTTCTCCTCCATTCCGCCTCTGTACTTTTTCCCAGCTCTTCCTGAATGCACCAGGGAGCTCATCCTGTTGTCTTGATGTGTCCCCAGATGCGGTATTCTGATATCTAGGCAGATGTCCTGCCACAAAGACAGATTTGTAGCTTGAGTCCCTGAGGAGGAGGCAGAGCAGAGGGGTAGTGTGTGCTGACAACCTAAGGCTCTGGGGCTCAGCCTTTCCTCAGTTGCTGGGTGGATCAGAAAGGGAATGTGGGATTGTGGAGGCTGCAGGAGGGATTTGAAAAGGTTAAGTTTTGGGTGTCGGGTCATTGTCTCTGTTCAGTCTGGTTCTCCTGTGGTTCTGAAAAAATAGGACAGGAAGGGGAGATAGCGAGCCTCCCTGGGCATAGGGCTTTTACTGTGCTTTAGTTAAATCTAAAGAAGACTACTGTTTGCAGCAATCTACTATTCTCTAGGCCAGCAGCTGTTTCTGCTACTTCTCTTTTTTCCTGTGGACCCTGCTTAGGTCACATCATCTCTTTATTGTGGCTCATTTATGGCTCTTAAGGGTCTCACTTAAATGCTCTGGGTCTTACCTAACAGGTGTCTGTTTTCTTGTGTCAGATGTACCAAAGCTGCAGCCTCATCCAGGACTGGAGAAGAAAGAGGAGGAAGAGGAAGAAGAAGAATACGATGAAGGGTCTAATCTCAAAAGACAGACCAATAAGAACCGGGTGCAGTCAGGCCCCCGCACGCCCAACCCCTATGCCTCAGACAACAGCAGCCTCATGTTTCCCATCCTGGTGGCCTTTGGAGTCTTCATTCCAACCCTCTTCTGCCTCTGCCGGTTGTGAGAACAAATGTCATCCTGAACTGGGTGGAGGGGTGAAGGAAAGAAACCAAACATACTGGTTTTGGTTTCTGTATTTTTTCACAGTGATTAACAAAACAAACAAACAAAAAACACATACAAAAATTAAAGGAGAAAAAAAGAGGCAGAGTGGGTAGAGAGCAGCCCTCATCCACCACTGGTCCCAGCCCTGCTTCAGTCCTTGTGCTCTCTTTGTGGCTGGCCCCAGCCGTCTCTTTCCTCTCCAGGGTACTTAGGGTAAAGTGGATCCTACACTTTCAAGGATCCTAGTCTGCACACCTAGTGGAAAGGACTCTGAACCCAGAGCAGACACGGTTCCTTTTTTTTTTTTTTTTTTAGATTAGAAATTAACAGCAGGGAAATGTCATCTTATTACCTGAGAAGACCAGCACTGGGAGTTGGGTATGTTCTGAAGTGATGTCCAGATAAGTTTTCAGATGTCCTGGGATTGAAAGTGTGTGTGCTTTGTGTACGTGTGAAGGTGTATAATTTGTGTGATAAAGACGAAAACAGAGGGGGATTAAACAAAACAAAGAAAAGTAGATACTTCCTTACGTGGAAGCCTTTCTGGTTTCAGCCCAGTGATGGCTCCACCTTCGGTGTTTGTGCTTTGTCATTGCCTGTCTCCCTGCCATGTGCCAGTTAGAGGACTGTCTGGTATCCAAGACGATTAGTTTATGTCAGGTCCTCAAGCTGCCTCTGACTTGTTACCACAACAAATCATTTTGATTTCCGTGCCTGTTGGGGGCTTGATTTCCTCTCATTTTTCGCCCCCTTAATCTGGCTCATTTGAAATCTTTCAGTCATCCCGCTAAGTTATTGCCAAGAAGGGAAGGAGACATGGGGATCTGAGGTTCCCTTTGCTTGAATGTCTTATCCTCTACCGCCTCACCTTGTTGGTACCTCCCTCCCTGGATCTCTGAGCCAGCAGCCAGGAGGACCTGACCCAGCAGTTCTTTTACTGGCCCCTCTGTAGGGTCTTGCTGCCAGGGGACAGGGATGCTTTCCAGCCTGCAGCAACAGAACACTTGACCTTAAAAGTCTTTTCTGGTCTTTGGATTAGAAAAGGCTTACGTTAGCATAACTTAAGAGCCACCTCAGAGACTTGAACCCTACTAAGTGACTGACCACTGTTTAGAGTGTCTAGTACCTGATGTTCGTTTATTCCCATCTTGTGTCTGTGGCACAAGTCAACCAGTTTTGATTTATGCCCAGGGCTGTCCCACAGAACTAGACCGATTGTCTGTATCTGGCCCAAGGGCGCCTCTCACCGATCTTAATAGTATACCCCTGTGCCCTTTCACCTCCCTATGGGTTCTTGGTGTGATGGGGCTGAAATACTGCCCATAGTCCACCATAGTCCTGGCAGCTCTGAAGCCAACCTTAGCATCTAAGCATCTGTCTTAAATTCCCTGGAAAAAACTTCTGCAGGAAATGAAGCTTCCCTGTTCCCTTCCTTTCTGGTCACCGTTACCCTTTTCCCAGTTAGGCAGCAATGAGGGAGGACCCAGCCAAGCTACAAGGAATTCTGTGAATGGAAGGCAGCAGGATTAGCTTCTGCTTGGGCTCGAGCAGCGTAGAATCTCAAGGCACATCGCTCTAGAATGTGTTTAATTTTGTCTTTTTTTTTCCTTAAGTGTTTTTAAAGAGCTCCATATATTTGAACTGTTCGTCATGTGACAAATTAAGTAGCCTTTGGGCTCATGTCCTGGGTTTTGACTCTTGATGAGTTACTCTGGGCCAGCATTTAGTCCTTGAGAGTTGGCGCCCTTTATTTTAGCTGTGACTTAGGCCTCAGGAGTCAGGCATCTGGATGGCTATGGCCTCAGGCTGCGGTAAGGGGAACGCTTCTGGAGTGCGTCACAAAGCTCCCTGCTTTAAAGGATGACATCTATGGCCTTGGTCCTGGGGACGCCCTGCCTGGGGCAGTGGACATCCTGACGGTTAATTGGGCTCCCGACAGTGGCATCGGTTTCTCTTCCATCAGAACTCCCCACAGCTGTAGGCCACTGCCAGTGGAGTAGACGAGATGAGGAAGGAGGGTGGGCTGCCTCCATTTTGCCTTGTTTGTTAGTTTGCCTGGGTCTCTGAGGAAGGAGGGGTCCCGCCTCCGCACCTCATCCCATTCCTTCAGTGACTCAGAGTCTCAGAAGGAAACTCTGGCTCCTGGGGCCATTTCCTAATGGTACTGTAAGCCAAGCAGCTTTGCTTGCAAGCCCACCCTTGTTTCCAAGCCTACTCCTTTCCCCTGAGCTCAGGGATAGGGATGGGCATTTTCCTCTGCTTGTGTCCGAAAGGAAGGAACATCTTTCTATGGCTCACAAAAACTAAAGGAGAAGTGAGGAAACAGGAAGAAGTATGGTGGGGGCTGGGGTAGAGTCCCCTGGAGCCAAGCCCACCCCGCTAACAGAGCTGCCCAGGGCCAGTCACAACTGGCCCGTGATGCTGAACTTGAAAGCTTTTTTTTGTTTGCTTGTTTTTTGGTTTTTTGTTTTTGGCTCCTCCAAGATGATATAGGTACATGAAGTTTAGGTTAAAGGGGTGGGGTTGGGGCACTCTTTATTTTTATTTTTGTATTGTGTGTGTCACAAATTACTCTGTTCATCGTTTGCTTTTTGCACTGTTTGTTCCCCTGCCTATATTTTGAGCTAGTGCTAGGACCAGGCGGCTACGCTGTAGGGAGTCTATCTAGGGTCGGGGAGGTGATGAGGGATGCCACTTAGGCCTGGAGAAAGGGAGATATGGGCTCTTCTCCTGGATCCATGCTCTCCTAGGTTTTTAGATTTCCCTGACCCCAGCTGGCCAAAGCCAAGAGCAGATGGCCAAGATGAAACTCCTTTTTCGGTTCAGTTTCTGGGTGGACTACACAAAGATGTCTTCTGGGGATGGGTTGAGAGTGTGAGCCTAGCTCTGATTTGGGTCAGGGGCCAGCTGGCCATTTTGGGTTTTACTCATGCTGGCTGAAACGTTGTGCCAGGAAATAATCTGTGGGACACATGTCCCCTAAACCAGATCCATTTTCCCATAAAGTCTCCGCTATGGAGGAGAAGCTGCTCAGTGGATATCTTGAATTCTGGTGACTTGAAAGATGGTTATCTTCAAGTGTCAGTGGTGTCAGACTCCCAGGGGGGCCATAGGGCCTGCAGGGCCACTGGCTGGTTTGAGAGTGTGACCTTGTTCTCTTTTTCCCGCTGTTTGTGTAAGAGATACTGGCCTGAAATTGGGGGATCACATTAGAGGTCAATTAAGCTTTGAAGAGATGAGGTGAAGTTTAAGTTTACCTCCCCCTTTCTGTGCCTGGAAACTGTTTAATCCAGTTTCAGAATTGTGTTTTGACTTCTTTATCTTTTTGGAGAAGCTTCTGTTTTAAGGAATTTCTCTTCCTTCTTATCCTGCCTCTGCTTTCTCCTGAGAAGGCCTGGCCATGGCTTCTAGAATCTCAGTTGAACTCCAGAAAACAACAGCAGTATTTTCCCTTTCCTAGCAGATAGACTCCTTTGTCTAGAAATTGGCTCACCTTGGGAAGCCCAGGGAAAGAGTCCACAAGTTCTCTACCCTCCCTGGAGATTGGGGCAGGACCCACCCCGGTCAGCACAGTGCCTTTTCCTCTCCTGCTCTGAGCCAGGGTGGGCATTCCCTCTAGATTCAGGTCTGGGCAGGGGTCTTACAGTCCCTGCTGTGGGGCTGCTTCCCCATCCCTCCCCCCTTACCCTTTGCTGGCCGGCTCTGACCTAATTCAAGTGTCTTCTTGCCTCGAGGAGCCTTAATGGCATCAAGTGGCAACATGTAATACTGTCCTCCATGTCTCTCCAAAGGACCTAGGAGAGCAGGTGAGCTTTCCAAAGTGAAAGACTAACAGATGCTCCTGTTCAGAAAGAGGGAAGGAGGAGATGCTTTGGGCCTCCTCCTGCTGTGGCCCTAGGGAAGGAGCCTGGGGTAAGGCTAAGTGGTAGTGCAGAAGCAGAACCAGAAACACCTGGGATGTGTTCAAAACTCTTAGAAGAAGTCTGCTTCTCTTCTGTGGAAAGATCTAATTAGGGTTCAGAGAGCTCTAAGAAAATTGCAAAGAAGCCTTAATGTTCATGCTTCAGAGAGATCAGAGTAATTTTTCCCTATTTGTCCGAGCTCGGACTCTTTCTGTATTTAGACCTCTCCTGGGGCAAGAGGGCTAGATTTCCTCATTTTATTAGGAGACCAGATTGGCATCAGTGGGTCAGCTGCCCAGCTAGGGCGGGTTTCTTTGTACATGGGTGGCTTGCTGCCGATCTAGTTTGTCCTTCCCCAGCTGCCTTTTGGCTCGCCTGCCTTTGGTTGCCAAATCATTTTGATAAGAGCAGATGATTTGGGGACTGGCTGGGTTGGCAGGAAAAGAGCAGAATAGATCTCTTGGGACAGTCCACTCCCCCTCACCTCCCCCCCACCGCCCCCCAGGAGTATAAAAACAAGGAGCCAGGATTGTGCTGGTAGCCGGGGAAACAGTAGTCCCGTTCGAGTTGGCAGGGAGGGCCCTGGCACCTCAAACATCCAGGCAGGCTTGTGAGATGGGGGCACGTAGCACTAGGAGAAGCCGAACTTCATTCTCACCTCTATTTTGAGCTTCAGTGCGTTATTTCAGTATGAGGGAAAACAACAACAAACTGAAGTGTGCTTTCCGTCCTTTTAAAGGACAACTGTCGGGAAAGGAGAGCGGAGTTGCCAGGTGGGAGGGGAGAACTGGCAGGGAGATCTTCACGGCAAACCAGGAATGAGGCGTTTTTGATTCTTCTCTTCCCTGGTGTGTCATGATCCGGGGAATGAAAAGAAATTTGACCCTGGATTAGTCCCCTCCTTGGATTTTCCTTCTGCCATGTTCTCATGCACTAGGACCAGCTGCCATTCTGAGCTCAGAGCAGCCTCTTCAATCATTACTGACCTAAGCTGACTTGTCAGGAAACCCATCCCGCCCCTCCAGATCGGGCCTGGTTGCTCTGTTCTGTACCAAGTACTGGAGAATAGTGTCAAGTTCTTAGTAGCCCTGGTAGCTCCTAGATTCCCATCTTCTCCCTGCGGAGGTCAAACCAGCTCTTCATCTGTAGCCACAACAT